AGTAGCACAGAGGAGCTGTGGTTGGAACCCTGGTGTAGCCCCCTCTGACCCCTGGCAGTGGGAAGCAGGGTCAAAATTCACCAACAGGAGAAGAGACTGAAGGTTGACTCATTCCATCAAGAAACTCATAAGCCCAGACAAATAGTACCCAAGGAAAGGTCATTCAGAAACAAGGCCATAGTAAAACCTAGTGGAGAGGGATTTTCAAATCAGAGCTTAATGAATGTTGTATGCAGATGATGAAACCAATCCATTCCCTTGAATTCTAGATAACAAGATCAGCAAAAGTTTAGTTAAGCTGAAGGTTTGTGTAACATATATCTAGCTGTCCACCGCAGGCTCCTATTAAAATGCAGCAAAATAACCCTGCAAATATCTGCAAACAAGTGTACTGTGGGAATATGCACATTTTAAATAACCAGAGGTCATTTTCATAAGTGGAAAATTACTATGTTCTAGGCAGATAACAAACCTAAGTGGTTTGGAGTTAGTGGAAATGGTGAATAGTGAACATCTTAGATATCTCCCAAATAAACTTGGTTAAGTACAAATGCCCTATAGGTGATAAGTGAGGAGCACACAATGGTATGTCAAAGAGCCATGACAGTCGCCTAGTCCAAGACCCTCACCTAGCACTAAACTCTGCAGGGAGTCCCTCCACTCTCTCACCTTTGGGTTCCTCAGATAAGTTTTCAAAGACTCTTTGCTCCCACTCTCTCAGAAACAGGCCTTGTCGTGCCTGGAGCTCACTGAGACCCTGGTCAGGTCTCCAGTTCCAAAGCAGCAGCAGCGTGGAGGGTAATTCTGGCTTGTAGCTCAAGTCACCCCATCTTGGGCTGGCTGTGGGGAGTCTGCAGCCCAAACATTACCCTAGGAAGCAAACCTTGGGCAGACCCTCAAACTGGTGAGGGAAGTACTTTCAACTTAAGTGCCTGGAAGTTTACTGAGTTTATGCTGAGCTCAAACTAGTTCAGGTGCCCCTAAGCAATGAGCAAAGGAATAGTTGGTAAGCTTCAGATTAGATAAGGTTTTTATAAAGTTTTAATAGTGGGTTAGTTCTCATACTATTACACAGACATGAAAAGTGACCCTTATAAAACCTAATTAAGATAGAAGGCTTTAGAAACTGTTTAAAAGAGACTAGAGCCAGGAGGCAAAGAAACATGTAAACCCAATGAAACATAAGACTGAAGGGTGTAATCAGAGCTTCAATAGTGGGACAAGTGGCGATGCCAGGTCAGTGCCCTTTGTCTCTGATGATTAAAAAAAATCCAAATGCCCCACACTGTCACTTTAAACAGGTCTGAACTGGGCCAACTGTTCAGCATTCAGAAAGATAGCTTTTGTTAAATAAGCTATCAGCAGGATTGGAAATAATAAAAATAACTTTTGAATCTATTGGTCCAGTTGTTCTGATTCCAAATCCAGTGTTCTTTCTACTACACCACAGCTGCTGATGTTTGGGAGCCCCATAACCCTGGAAAAGGTTTCTCTGTTGCTGTGCACAATGTATTAGGCATACATAAGCTGGCCATTTGTAGTCATCTCATTGGAGAAGCAAAATCTGTGAATCTGGATGAACAGGAATGCCGCCCTTTCATGCTGTACTTACGTCATACACCTGGGGACTAGTCAGACATCGGGCGAGCAAGCCACACCAGGCTGGGAGAGTGGTGGTTAACGGGGGGCCACTGTGTGTGAGGATGGGCTTCAAGTAACTTTAAAAAGAGAATTAAGGAAAAAATGTCTGCAAAGAAAACACACACCCAACAAAACATGTTTAGAAATCCCAACGACTAAATCATCTGACATTCTACCCACAAAAAGCCTTTCTCCCATTCTACCAGGACAATACAGAAAATGCGGGCATACCCCATTTTATTGCACTTCTCTTTATTGCACTTCACAAATGCTGCATTTTTTACAAACCACAGGCAGAACCCTCCACCAGCAAAAAGATTATGACTCGCTTTATCGTGGTGGTCTGGGACTGAGCCCGCAATATCTCTGACCTATGCCTGTACTTGTACTCTGCAACAGTCTGAATCAAAGATTAAACTATGCCCCATCAGCATTTAGTGATAACTGTTAACTCTCAGGTTGTTGATTCTCAATTTTCAGTTAAAAAGAGTATTTGTTAATTAGAATACCCTTCTCCCTTCTTTTATGTTGAATGAGAATTTTTGTGTCAATCAGCATTCTAGCTTTTGACACATAACCAGCTCACACCTTAGAAACAGGAAATAGTTCAGAGTGGAGTGGAGGGAGATGTTGCAGCCCCTGGGTCCTCTCTGCCCTGGGTTCTCTGTAAGGGCTCTTATTAAACCACTCTGCTCAGAGTCGCATGGTAAGAAACAGTCGAGGTGGGCAGGGCCTTAGAGGTAACCTGGAGCTACTACAAAGGAGGAAACTGAGAATTGGCAAGATAAAATGATTTTACTAAGGTCACTCAGATTTAAATTTCCCAACTTCCCATACAGGACTGTTCTTCACTCTACCTGCTCTCTCCCAGACTCTCCAACACAGATTTCCCCAAACTCAACACTTTTGACATTTTGTGCCAGGTCGTTCTTTCTTGTAAGGGGCTGACCTGCAATGTAGGATGTCTAGCAGCATCCCTGGCCTCTACCCACTAGATGCCAGTAGCATTCCCACTCCCTCCCCAAGTGTGACAATAAAAGTGTCTCCAGACGTTGCCAAATGTCCCCTGAGAAGCAAACTCACTCTTGGTTGGGACTACTGCTAAAACATGAAGATCAGCTGTTATGCGGAGAACTCAGGGTTTGTCAGTCTGTGGATATTTGTGCTGCCAAATGCTCAGCACTGTGTTGGAAGCACCACGAAGCATGTGTCACATTATGACAGGGCCGTGACCATTTCTGACACCCACAGCCTGAGCAATATAGAAAAGGTGAAGACTCACATGGCCACCTCAAATGCAAGAATGAATGGCTTTAAAGGAAGGTAAGAACATGTCACAACCATCTGTACACAGCATGACTACTCCAAGCACCATCACTTTGGGTCTTCATTTAGAGCAGCACAAGAAAGAAAAAGCTTCCTTACAGGAGATGGAAGGGAGACCCAGGGGCACACTTCTAGTTGGGAATTACTCAACAGAGGATGTGTGGGTTCTGCTGGAACTTTTTACAAACAGAACAAGCTCCCTTTGACCCCCATCCTCTAACCACATTCCTAGGAACAGCCTCTACAGGCCTATCAGTTCTCCTGTGTCTTCAACTCAGAAGCTGACAGCAGCTGGATTTGTGGAATGACTGCCTTTCAGTTTTCCCAGAGGCTACCTTTCAGTTTTCCACCTCAGGCAGTTGGAAGGCAAGCTCCCTCTTCCTCCAATACAAAAGGCCCTTAAACAACATCTTTCAAAGAGAAAAAAATATTTACATATAAATTGTTAAATATTCAGATTGTCCAAAGGCAAAAAACATCAAGTCTCTCTCCCACTCAGTGATTTTGGTAATTACCATTACAACTGTATAGATTACATTTTTTCTCCTGTTTCTTGATTTATAGACTTTAGTCAGGGGCTTTTAACTCCCTCCTATGAAGGATGGCAAATTTAATTCATTTACACTCCTGCCTCGTCTTTTCAATTTTTTTTCCTTTCTAATTTTTATAATTAATTTTACACTGCAGATATATAAAATCTGCATTCTATTTTATAACTAATAAGCAAATCTTCTATGCTCTGTCTATGGATTGAGTCTAAACGTTAAAAATCAATAATCAGCATTTGTACTAATGTTATTATATTAATATTATTCACTGTAACCAAGCAGAGTGACTGGAACACTATTAAAGGAAATGTAAAACAATGTCATTTAAACTTTGTTAGAACGCTTGAGTGTCTTGCTAAATAAAGGCTCTTTTAATTTCTTTTCGATCTTATCTACTTCTTCTGAGTTATAGCAAATCACTGCTTCCTCCGCGTTGTCCCTTTAGTTGGATTTTGTTTTGTTTGATCCTTATGCTGTTGTTTTCCCCTTCTTACAGTGTCTGCATGGTGCTAAATTTTCTGAATTTGTGTATGGCTAAAAGCCACCCTTCTTTTTATTGCTCATTTTGATTAAGAGTTTGGATGTAGAATTCCAGACTCAGGCTTTCTCTTTTCATCCTAGAAGTCTGATAATGTATGACAGTGTTCTAACATTCAATTTTATTGTCCCAAATAGCAGAATTTCCTTCCTTTTTAAGGCTGAATAATACTCCATTACATATACACACATTTTCTTTATCCATTCGTGCACTGGCTGACACTTAGGTTGTTTCCATACCTTGACTACTGTGAATAATGTTGCTATGAATATACGAGTACAGGTAACAAAAGCAATTTGTCCATTTCTTGTCCGATTTTTGGTGTATAATTATTTATAGCAGTCTCTTATGGCCCCTTATATTTCTGTGGTATCAGTTGTAATGTCTCCTCTTTTGTTTCAGATTTTATTTATTGGAATCATCTCTTTTTTTCTTAGTCCAACTAAAGGTTTTTCAATTCTCTTCATATTTTCAAAAAACCTATTTTTTTCTACTATCTTTTATTTATTTCTGCTCTAATCATTATTTCCTTCCTTCTTTGGACTTAACTTTGGGCTCAGTTTGTTCTTTTTCTAGTTCCCTGAGGTATAAAGTTAGGTTGTTTATTCGAAATCTTTATCTTTTCTAATCCTCACATGAGGATACAATTTTATTGATTTTAGAGAGAGGGGAACAGGGAGGGAAAGAGATAGAGATAGAGGAGATAGAGATAGATAGAGATAGAGAGAGAAACATCAACATAAGAGAGAAACATCAATTGAAACTCTCTCTAATGAAGGATGCCTCTCATACACCTCCTGACTGGGGATGGAACCCACAACCTTTTGGTGCATGGGAAGACACTCTTACCAACTGCGCTACTTGGCCAGGGCAAGATCTTTCCTTTTTTAATGTAGGTATTTAACACTATAAACTTTTTATTCCCTCTTAAAACTGCTTTTGCTGCATCACATAAGTTTTGTTATGTTGCATTTCCATTTTCCTATGTCTCAAGATATATATATATTTTAATTTCCTTTCTGACTTCTTCACTGACCCATTGGTTACTGAGGACTGTATTGTTTAATGTCCACTCTCCGGCTGTTCTGTTCAGGAGTGTGTTGTTTAATGTACACATATTTGTAAAGTTTCCAGTTTTCCTGCTGTTATTGATTTCTAGTTTCATACCACTGTGGTCAGAAAAGATACTTGATATGATTTCAGTCTTCTTAAATTTTCTAAGACTTGTTTTGTGATCTAACATACAGGTCTATCCTGGAGAATGTTTCATGTGCACTTGAGAAGAATGTACATTTTGCTGCTGTTAGATGGAATGTTCTGTGCATGTCTGTTAGGTTCATTTGATCTAAAATGTAGTTCAAGTCCAATGTTTCCTTATCGATTTTCTTTCTGCATAATCTATCCATTGTTGAAAGTGGAGTATCGAATGCTGACAAGAATCAATTATCACTTCAGCACTTTGTCACTTTACTGTGAACTCTCTCCAATTTTCTCTACAACCTTTCTAAGCCCAGTGAGTAACATGCATTCTGGATTACAATGTAGATGAAGTTCATATGGCTTTAAGTTAATAGCAAACAACAGCAAACAGTAATTTAAACCATCCTTTCCACTGAGAACAACTAGCCAAGCTGGGCAAAACAAAACAAGATAAAACACAACAAAATCTTCTGCTTAATGGCATCAGAAAGCTACCATGGCAGTGAAGAGAGCCAGAATTTGGAGGAGGACAATCCAAGAGGTGAGCCTGGCACTTGGTAAGCCATGTTTTCCCTAAAGGCAGAGCATCTGGCAGACTCAAAGAGTTAGTGAATCTGACAAAAAATGGTGTCCAGGGCCTTCTGAAGAAGACTACATAAACACCCAAGGCTCTAGGTTTGAACCTTTGAAGAAAGGGTAAACAGAAAACAGACTAGCCTTCACAGGAAATGAAGCCCAGCTTCAAACCATCCTTATTGCTGATTGGACTAAAGTGATCTGGAATTACTAAAGTCCCTAACCTAGTCACTGGCCCAATGTAAGTTAAATTATCTCTGAAGAATGATAACCTCATCTAGAGCATTTCCAATTATCTGTATACTTTTTCATTTCTTGTCTGTCACTGAAAAAACAAACAGATGCACAAAAGAAAAAAAAAATAAAGCTTCTAAAAGATAACATAGAAAATTGGCTTCATGACTTTGGGGCAAAGATTTCTACACAAAGAGTACTAATCAGAACAGAAAAGATGAATTGGATGAAGACCTTTTGTTCATCAAAAGAGTCTATTTAAAAGTGAAAATGGAAGTCACAGGTAGAGAAGTTATTTTTATCATATATAATTAGCAAAATACTAAGCCCAGTGATTAATGTGCTTTAGATAGATAAATAGATGATAGATAGATGATAGACAGACAGATAGATGATAGATGATAGATAGATAGATATAGATATATATCCAGAATATATAAGGACCTCTTACAAATCAGTAAGAAAAAGGCAGATAACCCAATAGAAAAATGGGCAAGAGACTTGAACAGGTGCTCCATAAAGGAACATACCAAGTGGCCAGTAAATCTATGGAAAGGTGCTCAACTTTATTAGTCATCAGATAAATGCAAATTAAACCCATAACGAAATGCCACTACAAATCCACTAGAATGGCTAAAATTAACAAGACTGAATGCCAATGGTCAGTGAGGATGTGGAGCAGCTAGAGCTCTCATATACTAGAGGTGCTTGTGTAAAGTGGTATTACCATTTTATAAAACTGTTTGGCACTTTCATCTACAGTTGACCCTATGCATGTCCTATGATGCAGCAGTTTCACTCCTGGATATATTCCCCCCCACAAAACGTACATACACAAACCAAAAGACATGAACAAGAACGCTCATAGCCGTATTTTTTTGGCAACTCCAAATTAGAAACAATCTACATGTTCATCAACAATAAATTATAATATATTTATATAATGAAATACTATATAGCAATGAAAATAGATGAACTAGACATACACGAGACAACATGGATGAATCACACAAATAATGTCAAGTCAAATAAACCAGACAGTAACATATATATACTTTATAATCCCATTTATGCAAAGTTCAAAAACAGGTAAACCTGTTAAGTGTTGCTAGAAGTCAGGAGAGTGGCTGCATTTGGGGAAGAGAGAGGGGTAGTAATTGGGTTATGGCATGAGGGGACCTGGTAATTTTGTGTTTCTTGAACTGTTTGGAGTAAAATAAGTGTGTTTATTTTGTGATAATTGACTGAGCACTTACGATTTGTATACTTTTCTATACATATCTTATACTTCAATAAAAAATATTAAACATTTTCCAAGTCTCCAAAGACCATACGTAAGCTACCTACCTGCCCATCTGATTGATCACTATGTCAACTTAAGAAATCATGAAAGTTTAACTTTTTGGTTTTTAATTTTCAACTACAACCAAGTAAATCTACAAGAACAGAGTCTGCCCTGCGTGTGGCCCAGTTAAGGCCTGGATCAGACTTGGCCAGAGGTGGTTCAGTCATTAGAAATTAACCTCCCTGAGCTGTAGAGCACCCTCATAACCAAGGAAGAAAAGTGGAGGCCACATAGACTGGTAGGAAGTATGTAGGCATGAGAGGCTGGCTGGCCTCCCACACGCAGCTGCTGAAGATCCAGAAAGATATCTCAGCTGTGGGAGGTTCCCACTGAAGACTCTGGGGCTTAAACCCCAGGCTGAGCTTCCCATCTCAAAGCACCAGAACTGAGAAAGGTACCCACATAACATCTGGCTGTGAAAAGCAGCAGGGTTTCTGTCTGCCAGGGAGAGGCAGCTGGAACTGCAGGCACCCTCTTAAAGAGCCAATGCACAAAGTTTCATGGGCAGCCACTCACCCTAGGCTCCAGCAGAGGGAGGGCAGAGTGGACTGGAGCTGTGTGAAGGGAATCTAGGGTTATGGCTTCTGGAGATTGAGATCAGAAGGCACCCATCTAGATTCCTGTGCCCAGTCATTCCCCCATACTGCAGAGGCAGACATCTACCTTCCAAGCAGCTTTTGCCTGAGGCGGAAGCAATTGCCCCATCCTGCTGGAAAACTTCTAGCCCTACCCAGAGGAATTTCTACAGCCTGAGGCTCCTTAGACTGATAACTACCAGCCGCCTAACCCTGTGGAGTTTCTACAGCCTGAAGCTCATTAAGAGAATCAGATTAATCAGCCTGCAGCCAGAGGTGGAACATCAGAGTGCTTTGAGTCTTTGCCTGATCTGATTCTGGACCCCTGCCTTAGAAAAGCAGACTTTGGCATACATCTTGGTCCTGTCCAAACGCACCCAGCTCTAGCAGAGGAGACCTCAGGCAGAGGGTTGTTGATAGCTGCAAACAGGGCACTCAGGGCCAGTCACAAACTGCGTCTGATATTGGCCTGCACCAGAGACCCTCCAAAAAGACTGAGAGTCCTAGCAGATCTACCTAATACATAGAAACAAACCCAAACAGGCAGCCAAAATGGGGAGACAAAAGAAACAAGCCCCAACTGAAAGAACAAGAAAAGTCTCCAGAAAAAGAGCTAAATGAAATGGAGATAAGCAATCTATCAGATATAGAGTGCAGAATACTCATTGTAAGGATGCTCAACAGCATGAAAAAAGATATGGAAACTATGAAGGAAATTAAGAATGACATGGCAGAAATAAAGAATACATTG